CATATATTGAGGTTTTTAATAGAGCCAAAAAACAAAAAAACATATTTTAGGCTTATCAAAGGCTTTGTTTTTGAGAGTGGTAGCATTTTAGTGTCTGGTATGTCGCAAATGCCAAACAATCTGTAGTGTGCAACAACTTGGCAATGCAGTCGCCACACAGTTCAGAGGACGTTTTGACGCGCACTTGACTGAAGCGCAATGTCCATCAATGCGATGTCTACAGTCTGCCCCAATCCTAACCAGGCCAAAATTGGCATGGCGGGAGTCCGCGTCGCTGGGGTCTCGCGGTCGCGTCTACGACCTGCTTCTCTGCTCTCTCTGCAATCCTTTTGCTCTCTCCGACAGCGCGCGTATGCAGCGCAGAGCTCCAGCGCTGCGAGCGCGCAAAGTTGCACCGACGGTTCGGCCTGATCCCGATTGGGGCAGACTGTATACTGTTTTTAGCTCAGAAAAAGGAGAGACGATGGTTTGATTCGCTGTCTTCACTATTCGATAAATTTCTTCACTATTCGATAAATTTTTAAATTTTCTTATAGTGCAAATCAAAAAGGTCCAATGGTCTCATCTTTTCGATATTTATGCTCCGAACAATACAGTTGGTTTAGTGTTGGTCTAGAAACCAACAAATTCGGAAACGGGTATTAGAGCATTTGAGTTTTGGAACTTTCTACATAATGTAGTTTGAAGGAATAATGTATACACATAGCTCAGATTTGATGTGTGATTGTTTGTGCGCTGTACATAAACCGTTTGTGATGACTTAACACTCCTATGGTAGTGTCTAAGATGTGTAGATGGCTGACCAGTTTTATGCTAAGCCGGTAGTAGACTTTGGTGACTCCTTTATGTTACAATACACGCTAGCTTATACAAGCTTTATTGAAACATCAACGTGCCCTCATTCGGGCAGTGATAGAATGCTGCTCCTGGTAGGAGGAGCAAAGTAAGTAAAAGCGTATCTATACAATTATATCACTCAAGGTCGCGAGTTGGTGACCTCAAGCTAATAGGATTCCAAGCTTAGGGAGAAATGAATGATGTGAGAGTGCCGACAATGTCCGCACACGGTTTGTTTGCTCGGGTCTTGCATTTGAAATTCGCCAAAGAACACTTTCGAACCAGATATGTTCGCCGATTTTTTTTTCGGGGCTCCGCCCGGACTTTGCAAAAACGACATACCCTTTGCTTTTCACCCCAAAAACGGAGTTCAGTTTGACCCCAAACCATCTGTGCCAGGCCCTGCCCTATCCTGCGAATGAGAAGACAGAACGAATGATCAGCCAGCAACAAAAAAAGAAAAGTTGAAAGACAAATGCAAGGGCACTAGACACCGAGTTTTCGGTGAAAAATAAAGATTTGCACAAGGCGATTTGCTTAAGCGCACGTTTTACGATTGGAGCGGGTTGTGAGGCCCATGAAAGTTTTTTGTGGGCTAAGAAAACTTCAAAGAAAAAGTGAATTGCTCTTACACGAAATTGAAGTGCGGATACATTTCATGAAAAGATTCCCTAAATGTGTGAGCAAAAGGCCGGTCTAGCTCAGTTGGTGCCCAACTATTACGCTTACAGCTAGGTCGGAAGAAAGCTGGGGCTTTCATTCACAAAAGTTTCATATTTTGGTCATAGTTTTAGACATGCCACCCCTTGCCGGCATGTTAGCTAAAGGCAATGCTTTGTTTTTTTTTTAATCTTAAATTAGCGCTCTGTACGAGAACGTGTTGGAACATGTGAGCATTGGTCCTCTCTTCACTTTTTATTATCGGTGTGGATATCTAGAAGACGATTTGAAGATTAGGGTTCAATGCTGATATTTTCCTCTGCAACTTATTCCACAGATTGATTTCAGACTCCGCAAGTAGAATAACCTCTTCACTTTCCTTCAACAAAAAAACGATATCAAGTTTGATCCGGCTCCTGCTATGCCGAGCCCAGGTCCGTGACAATTAGCAAATCGATTGCAATGGCGAGATTACTATTTACGTTGAATTCAATGATAAATGAGTTCAAGCGAAAGAAAAAAAGTGAACTATAAAATGCGAGAAATTGGGACACATACATGTGTCTCATGAAGTCGTGCCTACTGCTTCATCGTTAATAACTTTCTTACAAGGGACGATCTTTGGGTATCATTAGCTGGCAAACGCGGCTCCTGATCCTGTCAATATTATATTCGTAATCAGCATTCTTAATTCGGTCCCGGAATAAAGTATTCGGAACGAACAACAACACATAGATATATGTATACACACAGCTTTGAATATAAGATTCTGTGAAGCTGGCTTAAACCGCATGGAGTCTTCTATTCATTTCCGTTGCTATAACATTATGGTAGGAACTCTGAGAAAAGTTTGCCCAAAAAAAACCAGACATGCCAAAATCTGTACTAAGTTACCAGAAATCGTCGATTTCAAACTGGAAATTATAGAGGTGCTTCTTGCAGGAGTTATTCCACGTAAGCCGTAGTAACTGATTTGCCAATGTCTTTCATAAGTTTGATAAAACCACTAAAGATGTTCATAACCTGTGGGAAGCTGTTCAATAAGTCAGCATGCGCGAAACCACGCAAGTTAATTTTCCAGATTTTTCAGAAATATTTTATGCAAGAATTTCTTACCATAATCTTACAGTGAGAAAGATTCTTTATTCGCTCCAAACTGCAAATCTGATTGATTAAGACTTTGAAGGCAAGAAAGTTATTAACGATCAAACAGTGTGCACATTTATTTAAGACTACATACCCCTGTCTCTTGAAAATCATAGATGAATTGGGGAATTTGTCAAAGTAAGTTTTGGACTAACTTATACGCATAAATTTAGCCCGAATCTACTGCAATCGTGAAGAACTAACCAAACAATAATATATTAGCTGAACTGAAAATTTTTCGAATTTATAAAATCAGATAAAGGAAATGATTGCACCAAGTCAAGAAAACCTTCCAAATTTCAGCGTATTATTTCTTAGCTATCACTGAAGTGGAAGCTAAGTGTGCGCTCAAAGATTTCTCTGGTCTCTATAGTTGCAGGTACAGCAATGCCGAATTATGATGAACTAGCGGCTTACCCGGCTCCGCCGTATCCGGACCAAACTTGGCACACATACACTTCGGGCCCCGGCGGGAGTTACAGTCCACTTTTCGTTATCGATCGATGTTTTTACCGATTTTTATCGATTTTTTTGCAGAGTTCACCTACAGGGCTAGGAGTTGGCACAGGGGAAGTGAGCATGGGGATTCCGAATACAATATTAGTTTTCAGAATTATCGATTACTTTTATTGATTTTATCGATTTTTTTTGTAAAGTTTGACCTGCGGGGCTGGGAGTTGGCACAGGGGTGTAATCGAGCATGCTGATCACCCCCGCGGGGGTCATCCCCATGCTCGATTACCCCCTGTGCCAACTCCCAGCCCCGTAGCTCAAACTTTGCAAAAAAAATCGATAAAAATCGATAAAATCGATATCGATCGATGACGAAAAGTAGCCTATGACACCCGCCGGGCCCGAAGTGTATGTGTGCCAAGTTTGGTCCGGATCGGTTCAGAAATGGAATTTTCTATTCGGAACATACGTACAGACATACAGACAGACAGACAGACAGACAAACAGACATTCAGCTTTATATATAAGATTATCTGTAAAGCCTTTATAGTGGGATAAAAAAGCCATCAGTAAGAGAAAAATTTGCTCGATATAATAAGTGAAATGTTTACCATTTTTTGTTTATAAGTTGTGTATTGAGTTAATGCAAAAATTGAATGCAAAAATTTGATCTAGGGGGGGGGGGGGTTATTTGGCATGCTGAACACGAATATGATGTTTATTTCGTGCGACAGCGCCATCCGTGGAGTTACGGTAGGACTACGGTAAAGGGTCAAAACCACGGATTTGCCCGAAACTTGGCTCAGAGGGGTTATTCGGCCCGCTGATATCATATCGCCCCAAATATCACATTGGTTTTAAACCGTAGCTTCATTTGCTCGGGATACGGTAGCTACGTAACGGGTGTAAAACATAGTTCTGTCTGAAACGGGTGTACGGCGATTCGGACGATCTTGAAGCTTTGCACACACGAACACCACTGCGCTATACACCCTACTGCGGCTTTTGTCTAAACAAAGCACAGGGGAGACATACATTTGCCGATTTTGATTTTGACCCCTACCGTAAACCTACTGTAATCGTGCAGGGAGGCGTTTTCGCGCGGAGAAAGTGTGACATTTCTAATCAGCATGTCTAATGTCTGTCCTCTACGCGAAGTTACGGCGGATTTTGAGATTTTGACCCCTACCGTGTACCCACCGTAACCCGAGAAAGTGACGCTACGGTACAAAATTAGAGTGATATTTGGCGTCAGCGGGCCGAATAACACTCTGGGCGAAGTTTCGGGCAAATCCGTAATTTTGACCCTCTACCGTAACTCCACCGGATGGCGCTGTCGCACGAAATAAACATCATATTTATGTTCAGCATGCCAAATAACCCCTCTAAACGAAGTTTTAGGAAAAATTCACGATTTTCATTTTCTGGGTCAACTAATTGGAATAGCGCCCAAATGTCTGAAAGCTCTGAAACTCAACACAATCATGCATGCAGTCAAATCATTTCGTATGATCATGTGTGTTATTGCACACACTGTCCACTTTCGACGTTTTCTCGTGGATTCAAAAAGCAGACACTACTTTAGGTAGGTGTCTTCGGTGTTTTTCAGTGCTTTCTTTCTTTTTAGTTAACAAGTGGTGCAAAGATTAGCAAATGATGCGTCTCCTGCGTTTTTGTGAGTGCAGATCCAGGAGAGGGACGTCAAAGATGGACGCTTTGTGCAGTACACACATGATATATGGAATGACTCAACTGTACGTAATACAATGAGTAGTAAAGTCACGTGCATTATACTCACTGCTTAAGAGTGTACATCTATACTGTAAATACACGCCACAAAGACCACTTCATTTGAAGAGGATGTTGCAATGTAAATAATACTCAAACTTTGGAAATCTTCCAGGATGTTGGGATTCCTCAGTTGGTCCAGAAATATTAATTATGAGTTCCGTTACATAATATAGGAATATTTCCAAGTTTACGTAATATAAGGTTTGAAAAGCTGCTGATGTAGGATCATTTTGATAACTGTAATACTAAAAACCCATTTTTAGCTTGTTCATTTGTAGTAAAATCAACACAACAAACAACAAAGTAAATTCTCAAAAAAATGACTTAGAACCGGCTTTTCTACAAATCAAGAGACTATTGAATAAATTTGCCTGTGGGATCAAAGAGAACAAACCGTTTACTCGAGTAGTGCGGAAAAAGTGCTGAAGTTCCCAAGTTCAACAAACAGTGGATTATATAACTCAGCAGTACAGCACAAGAACTGCTCTGCCTGAGCGTTTTTTAGTAACTTGGAAAGCATCAAAGTTCTAAACAATTTTTCGGGGAGGTAAACAAACTACCCACAATGATATATAGCACACCAGTACCGAGTAGTAAGCCAGTAAACTAACTTCTGCGAAAAGACACAAAGGTAAGTATACCATTCATTCACTAAAGCGTATGGCCTGATATTATCGTTTTCCAGATTCCCAGAATGAACATGTATTCTCCATTATTGTTTTCAGTAATAATAGTCTGTCTGTCAATTTCTAATGCAGATATACAACAGATAAGAGAAAAAAGACAAGACGAAATAAACGTTTACCTGTGTGGGGGTACATCAGGTGGCAACGGTTACGGAGATGGGGGTTACGGATGTGAGTTTTACATTTTTCCTAAAGTTCCATTCGTATAGGTAAGTCGAAACTTCATCATTTGACAAGGTTCAGCATAACGTATTTTACTGAGTGAATAATTTTTGCTCAAGACGATAGATGAAACTTGAGCAACTTCTCTTCGAAATTTTTTATTATATTTCTGGCCTATGAAAACTCTTTTCTTGCATGTAGAACACACAATCTTACAAAGATTTGTGTTTTGATCCATCTCTTCTTTAGTTCTGTATTTTTCAACAATGTCATCCTTTGTTTCAGATCCGTCGATGGTACCGTTTATGTACCCTCATAGGCCAACTTATTTCAGATGATTCCATGATGTGGCCTATGATGATGATGCCATGGTTCATGATGATGCCTTTTATGATGGGAGGGTATGGTGGTTATGGTGGTTGCTACGGCAAATAACTTCGGCATTGAATCACGCCTCTCTACCACTGCCATATTTTCGACTGCTAGCACTATGTTTACATTTTTTTTCTCATACGAAATCGAAAAATGTGATAATAAATAAACCCATTCACTGCTCGCAAATAGTGTGATCTTGCATCAAAAGCTCCAAGGATGGTAAATATGTAGTTGGTATGATTATAATGATTGCGAATCTACGATCACGCAACCTTCATAGAACAAGAAAGTATGTGACAGATTGCCGCTGAGTGCTTTAATTTTGCACTACGTTGACTATCTCAATGCAAGTATGCTTAGTATCTTGCTGGGATGAAGTTATATTTATTTTGAATACGATATCGAAAATTTTGAGATCAAAGGTGGCTTATTGGACTGCTCCTGGTACTTTTATGGCTCAATTTGTTTCGCGCGATTTGACAAAGTTGCGATGGATCCATTACCCCCGTAAACGCCTTCTCATTGAGCAAAATTTGACTTGCCTGCATCAACGAAAACTATGCGCCTGCGCTTCGAGATCTGCCGGCGGCGAAGTATATAATCAAGCAGCACAAATTTTCGCGGTATCCGAGATCGCGCGAATTATGGCTGCTGCCTAACACCAACGCAGCTCGAAATGGGTCTAATTTCTAGAGTCTTCACGTCGTATTGTCCACACCATTTTGATTTTTGCATGTAGCACAACCGTCTTGGCATCAAATGGACTATAAAGGATAAAGGATAAAGGATCAAGGATTCGGCGTCTTACCCTCTGAGGGCATGCGCCGAACGCACACAACTAACTTCATGGTCGAGGAGGCAACTGCATGCGTGCGAGCCTATTACAGTGACTTGCGGGGGCCAGCCGTTTCAAAGTCAGTGCTTTTATTCCCGAATTACTCTGGTACCAATTTACCGGCCCCGGAGGTAGAGGGCTTGGTTGGCCCAGGGCGGGGATCGAACCTGCGTTCGATCTGGTCATAGCGGCGCCTCACACCACTACGCCACTCGTCCCCTCAAATGGACTATGCTGTGAGCTATTAGGTTGTCAAGAGAATAATGTCCTTTTTTGGGTTTTTTCGGGTAAAATTGATATTATTCGAGAACTAGAGCATATCCGAGGTCAAAATTTCATGGTTAAAGTTACGATTTAGTTTTGTTAGTTTGAAAGCTTTGCAGTATACAAGGGCATATGTGGGAGGGATCCAGTACTACTGGGGGGCGAAGTTTGCTATTTTCCATTTTTCAATTTTTTCTTGGTTTTCAAGCATGGAAAAATATAGCCAAGTGACCCTATGGATAACATGTGTCTTTTACATGCAGGAGCAAGTGGGAAGTTCGCAGGATTTTCTAGGGCGAAAATCCAATTTTGACATCAGGAGTTGCTGTATGTTTTAGCTCTGAACTTTGCGTAAACAACAGTTGCCAATGTTCGGATGTCATCTTGTAGAGCTTTCTTTGCTCTATCGAATGGTAGCCCTCTCATATTTTTTTGGATTTGTCTTATGGCTTTGCTATGAAAAATGACATTATTTTCTTGACAACCTAATACAAAGACAACCATTGTTCCGTCAGATTTTGCTCTTATGACTAAGGCTTACAGTAGGTATATGGTAAAAAGGTAACAATTACATAATGTTACAGATACAACTTAGTTTTGGTCTAGGAAAGGCGTTCTTGCTGATCATATTATTTGCTTGCCCTGAGAAGTGGGGTCTCACAATGACAACAAGATTGGTGATTATAACTTTTGGAAAATCAACTATAAAATGATTAGTCTTGGCAAGCTTGCGACTCCTAGTCATTGAAGGTATTGGCGACAGAGTTGCGTACATCATGTCTCCCACTTCCACTATTCTATCACTGAAATACAGTGAGAGAAACAAAGCCATGATCTACCTTTTGATTCAACGAGATTGGAGGCTGAAAGGAGACCGCGCGCGTCCGCGAGGCAGTCTGCGTCTCTCTTGCAAACGTGTTCTTTGATCATTTTCCAGCCTTAATTAGGTCACGAAGCCCCGCCTTCAAGCCGCCAGTCCAGTCGAATCGAAGGGTATATAACCTCGATTCTATGTTCGCTTGAAATATAGGAAATTTGTCTTCGGGATGCATAGTCAATCACTTCCCAATATACAACAAAAGGGCGCATATATACCTCATTCATAATCTACATAATTTCCAGCAATCTCAACAATGAAAAGCCATGGAAAAGAGCGCATTATCGACCAATTGGCTGCCTTGCTTCAGCGACTGCAGTATGATACAACTCTGAAGACCGCTTATCTGGTGAGAAGATTACAGTCTGTCCCAATCCTAACCAGGCCAAAATTGGCATTGGGGGAGTCCGCTTCGCTAGGATTTCGCTCTCACGCCCACGGCTGCTTCTTTGCTCTCTCTCCAATCCTTTTGCTCCCTCCACAACGCGCATACGCAGCGCGGGCCGCTAGCGCTGCGTGCGCGCAGACTGGCCAGGGGTTCGGCCTGATTTCGATTGGAGCAGACTGTTGGTATTCCATTGCTGATCATTTTCTACCGGATATAGCAAAGTTTGAAAAATAGCATGGTACAAAAGAGCAGACATTTATCAGGCTTCAAAACCAAAGCGTCAGAATAAGTTAACACGTTAAGACATGGATGCTTCCAAAATTTAAATGGCATTTTTACTGTTACAAATAAGCAAAAAATTTTCAATAATATCTGTGGCTTTACTTTATGCCTCAGATTTGTCCAGATCGGGTCGGTCACGGATTAGTTCGCCAGGCCCTTACAAGTCCATCCTCAAGCTGGTTTCAGATGCATAGGTACACGAGCTGTTTCTAAAGTGCTAACTCTTGCTTGAACAAGTGCGTTTTCTGTCACTAGAATTACACACTATCGTAGCAACGTCACATTGCCCAATCTATGATCGATAACTTCAAAAGTTCGTGGGTTTTTGTAACAAACGCTATCGAAATCGCGTTTTTTACGGGGGCTAGAAATACGCATGCGAAAGTGCAAAATGCTGCTCAAGTGCGCAAGATAAGCAAATCACAATGAATCTTGGAATTAAGAGAAATAGAGACCCGATAGATTATTCGATATTACACGTTAGAGTGCTCAGTCGAGTTATTATGGATTAGAATACAAGGCCAACAATATCTCAATGATGCAAATGCTGCTCTTGGGCCACGAATTTCTTTTCCGCTAAATTTTGCGTTTAGAATGCTGCAGTTACATTTTTTAAAAATAGTTTATAATCGCCTTACAACTAGAACCAGTGAGAAAAAGTCATTCATCTTCTGGCTTTCAAAAAAAACTTATAAAAGTCTACGGCAAAGACTCCCAAAAATTTTTTATAACAATGACAAAATGTATTCTTCTAAACTGTGACCCTGATAAGTCGGAATCTTGGTTTTGTGCATGGCTTTAGGCTCCCTCCTACCCATATCTCGAAATTTGGCTCAAAACAAATGGAAATTATTGGATATTGAGATCCTAAAAAATTCTGCATTCTATGCATTTGCTTCATCAAATATTTCCTGAACAAAATTTCATGCTACAGGACGAAGACTTGATAAACAAACGTCTAGAACCTGATTTTCCACGAGTAAAATCGTGAAGCTGTTGAGTAAATTTGCTTTGGAGTAAAAAAAAAACGCGAAGCAATTACTCACGATCAGAAATGGTAACTCAACTTTGATTCCAGGAGAAACTGAGGTTCCCTAACGCCGGTATGCACGCATATCCCCGCATCGAAGGAAAGAGATCTGAGAAGGGAAACGTTATATTTTCCTACTCAAAAATCTATATTCTTCTTTTTACACCTATATTTTTACACCGATATTTGGGTGTTATAGATGACAGAACACTGCCAAACAAACTAAGTTCATTATTTCTTGTGGTCTTTCGGGATCCCAATAATTACCTCACATTTTCATAGTCATTTACTTTTATATAAACCAATAAATGCTGTAAAGTTGTAGAGGATATACTATGGAATGCTAAATATATTCATAGTGAAAATTAGTGAAATCTTAGGATATCAAGATCTTCGACGAACTGTGTTCGCGAGCTGAGGTTTATGGAAAAAATCACAACCTGCACAGTCCATCTGCTTTGTCGAAAACGTCATTTAAAGCGCCACAGTAGATCCTCAGTAAAACCACACGACGTTTTCATCGATTTCCAAGCTAGGAAGGAGGTGGTCCTCTGGGGATCCGCAGCGGATCACACGAAACAGTGAGAATCTTTGTATGGCAGGGTCTGCCATCCATTATACCCAAGCGTTAGGGGGTTAAAACCTCTATAACACAGACAGAAAATAATATAAATATTCAGGGTAGCAAAATCTAACACATCATCTTTCAGATCCCCTCCCTTCCAGCAGGAACGCATGTGCATACGAGCCTAGCTCAAAAAAGTCAGCGTAAGTGATTAGATGACTCTGTCGCACAAGAACTACTCTTTCTTTCGTTTTTTAGACAATTTTAAAGATATTGAAGCTTTACGCAAACTTTCCACAAAATAAACAAACTACTCGCAAAGATATATAGCGTGCGTAGCAGCAAATCGACAGTGTACTGTTCCCTCACCCAGCATACGACTGGGAATGTAAGCATATTGCTTACTACAGTTCTAGCTTGAGGGTATTGTTTTCAGATTTCCACATCAACATGCCGTACTCTGTGTTAATCTGCGTACTATTGATGCTCTGTATATCAACTTCTAGCGCAGGATTACTACAGCGAAGAGAAAAAAGACAGGATAATGGTTATGATTCATCATGTAAGTATGTACAACACGTAATCGACATCTGCTTTTTGAGCTTATACAAGGGGTGTCCCAAAAATGTGCGCACTGTTTCATCGTTAGTAATTTTTGCATTAAATTCTTTGGCCCATCTTTAGGTATAAGTATGGAGCAGATCTCCAATCGCTCCTCTCTCTTACTATGATAAGAATTTCTAGCCTACAGAACCAATACGAAACAGGCCGTCTGATAAGATCTTTTCGAAAGTTTGCAAAATTGTGTTGAGTATCATCATGTACTGACTCAACCCACCAATTCTTACGAAATTCTTGAGCTTTTCTGACAATGTAGTCACTTTCTGACTCACATTGGAAGGACAGCTGTTACGATTTACCTGAAAAAACCTAGGAAGAAAGCATTACAAGTGCCAACTTTTCAATCGAATTCAGCGACTATGATTAGCTAACGTAAGAGCATTTGGAGCGTTTTGTTTTCTTTCTGAGACAAATATGACACTCGAGGGGCAACGATCAAACATTGTGCACAATTTCTGGGAGCTCTGTGTTTGCTTGTTTTTGTAGACAGACACAACTTCTCAAGTTTACTCAGCACTTTGAGATAATCTTGACTAAGCGGAACGAGGTGTAATGCCACTTACATTTCGCATTAGATTCTGCTTAATCCTTCACTGAAAACTCCTTCTCTGAATAGCTAATTTGAGCAATTGTATTGAGTGACGGTTTCGAAGCACGTCTGAGTTTCAAAGCTTCATTGAGTTCGCCTTTATTGATTGAAAGGGTATTCGGTTCATAAATTCATAAAGACGCAGCAATTTAGTTTTCAAAAATGTGCGTTTCTTTTAGGGCCACCAGAATAGCAAAGAGAACGGGAAATTGAGTACCAAATACTTTGGCGTAGCAGTCTAGTTTTTACTGTGACATTCTATTCCTGAGTCTTTGCTGCAGCCATGATTCCGTTTTGTTCTCCCGCAAATAAAATCCTGATTGCACATGCCGCTGGCGCTTCTTGCACTTGCACTCCTACTTTTTGCTACCTTTTTCTCCAATTTCTACTCTGTCTCCTTGAAACTAGGAACTGCTTGTCAAGAGAGTAACTTCAAAATTCTTTTTTGAAATCAAACAACAAAGTTGCGCACATTTAGTTAGGGCTCCCAATCAACACGATGAAATTGGCCACTTGAATTGCGCGCTCTCTTTTAAGCTTAAGTATTATTGTGACGGCGCTACGTGGCAAACCATTTGTTGACTATCAAGTCTATGTAAGACCATATTAGGTTAAAATCTTACAATAATTTTTAATCACCACATTTATCCTAGACACATACAAAATTTCTTTCAATCACACTTTGACTCGAAAGCCCTATCCTTATTTGACGTAGCAGTTCTTGAGTCCTGTTCTAGTCTCACTAGACTGTAAGAAGAGTCAGCGATGTGCGGCACATCACAAATTTTCCTAGAAACAGTATTTGCAGCAACGAGAATCAAATGAAGCAAAGTCAACTTATTTCAGATAACGCCATGATGATGATGTGGCCCTGGATGATGTTGCCGCTTATATACGGTGGCTACGGCGGTTATGGTGGCTACGGCGGTTACGGCGGCTACGGCGGTTACGGTGGCTACGGCGGTTACGGTGGCTACGGCGGTTACGGTGGCTATGGTAACTCTGCTATATCTAATATTTGGCCTTGGTATATGGGCATGGCTATGGGTTGCGCCATGTGTGGAAACTATAACTATTAAATGTTCCGACGTTCTCTCTGTTGTCATACGACCATGACTGTTGTCAAACATTAATTCGTTGTTGTTTCTGTTTGAATTGTATTCATGTAAAAAAAGAATAAATCTAAAAATCTTTGCGTCAGTTGGCATGGTTGATAACTCTGTGTTGACTAACTCCCAAAGACATTCTTCGCCTTCAAATCGGTAAAGTCGGGCGGAAATTATACAATATATGATTATTCAACTGCAAATAATAATGATTATTCAATCGCAAACTCAACCGCAAACAGTGGCTCTCTTAGGCCAACGTACAGAATCTGTTCATCATATAGCAAAATAAAAACAGTATTGTATAGTAAGGTTTCTCTTTATGGCAAACGTTCGGTCGTAAGCGCTTTGGGAAAGAAAATCAAAATTAAAATTCAGAGGATCATTTTGCAGATGCAGCTTTTGTCTGTACTACCTGTGCAGCAGATATTTGCTTAGCAGATGCGGGACAAAAACATTCCTGTTATTATGGTAAGAGTATAGTTCATCCGGTTCTCACAAATTGTAGGCAGTGTTCTTCCCATTTTTCTTCCGAACTTCCGAAACAGGTCTTATTGTTAGAACGAAAAGCAATTGAATTTCTCTATTCAAAGAGAAAACACCGGAATAATAAAAAGGAGGAAAAAACATAAATTAGATGGATAGTACCTTGCTGAATAGATCAGATTGTTTTCGCTGACAAGTAGTGAGTGCAGCTTAACCAAAATCGCTTTTCTTACCCGAATGCTGTGAGGGGAACTAAATTACGAAAACTTGGCTAACCAAGTCAGGACGGGGTAGAAGAAAAGCCAGGGATCTTGGCATGAGAGAAGGAAGACTTTTAGGTAGAGTACTGGTCTGATATGAATGTTTATAATTACTGAACATGCAGTGGCAATCGACATCGGTCATAATCTTGAGTCCATCGGCATTTTTTCTGCTGCTTTCGGCATGTAGGGTTCATCGAGCGTAAAGCGCTAACAAAACTGATCATTTATTTGCATAGAATAAAAGGCTGATAGGAAGAGCACTCTTCATTTTTATCGTGGTATTTGGAATCCTCAAAAAGCATGAAGAATATTTGGGAAAAATACATTGTGAAGCTATCTGTCCTTACGTGAACTAAGAATAAAAGGCAGAAAAATGTTTCAACTGCAAGTGCCCTACTACTGTGTACAGTCGCAGAATTTTGTTTAACGGTTGAAAAAATAAATAATGTGCCCTTAAAACATTTACGACACGGCCATTTTATCGATTTCTGCTGTTCTGGACATACACCCGTTGGTATCAATTTTTCTCGTGCCTTTTTTCATTTGCCGAGGTCGTATGGTCCGAAGGTGATCTTTTAACTAGGCTTCCCCTAGATCTCCAAAGATGTGCGCATCTCATTACTTACATCGTAAATTTGCAGTGCCTAATGGTACCCAGAAGTGGAAGTCGTATGCCCGAAATGGCAGTACACGCCGTACGACCCACCGGTGGATCGTATTTTCGTGAACGTTTTAATAAACCAGAGGACAGAGACTGAAATGATGGTTGCTAAGTCGTATAATTTCGTAGCATGGTTGTCATTGCGAAGATGGAGAAAAAGGTGTTAGCGAAAGTTGTTGGACAAAGAAAAGCACAACATCAACATGTAAAGTGAATATTTCTTCCAACGGGTTCTGGCTCGCAATTACATAAACCAAATATATATCTATTTTAGTGAATGAAAATTTTTATTATATGCCTCCTAAAAATATATAGATTTCTGAATCAAAATTTACAAATATTAACCATATAGAGCTAATTTAAAAATTCCCTTTCATATCTGCCAAATATCTTTGCAAACAAGGTATGAGCAATTTTTATTGCAAAAAATACATATGAACTGCGAATGCCTCTTTCTTGGTATGGACTATAAAAGAAACCTAGCTGTATTTGATCTGTTTTAAGCCAAACACGGCTTGTACGTCTAATTTGCTTTCTTTATTCACTCGCAATATAATAAATCAAAACTTTATCTATAAAAGCCCTCAGCAGATAAGAAAAGTAAACCTATTATCATTAGCACTCTATGCTGCATCCATTGGCATGCAACTTATTGAAAATACCCACTTCGGCTTCTGGCTTTTCTCTTGTCAGAGAAAAGTGAAAACAAGTCGATTTTGAGAAAGCCCTTGAAGCAAACATCAAATCCACTAAATTTGTTACCGCAGTCGAGCTCCGGATTATTAGGCAGGCATTATAGGCAAAGGCAATATGAAACAAATGCCTGTCTATAAAATAATTTTTCGACATTGCAGCAATAATCTGTAAGTGTCAATTACTTTATTTACTTCAATCGTTATAGCTGTTTTGTTGTAAGTATGGGTTTAGCACCTAGAATTGTTCATAATGTTTTCTGTTTTTCTTTGGATCAAATGTTGTGCTTTTATTGCTTAGAATGAAAGTTACCAGACTATTTGGCTCTCGTATCAAAGTTGCGAGATGCAGAGTTTACATTGTTGTGGAAAGCAGACTGCGATAAAGCTTACGAGTACTCTCGTAGGTGTTTGATGCTATGCTAATGTAGCCCATAGCGTGAACATTCCATTTCTTTATGAAACATTTGATTTTTTATGTTTTCTTTCTTAATAATATTAAGCGATAAGTCGCACGCACATAAAAATTGCTCGTGATACAAAAAAAACATTACGATTTTAGTATCACGCCATTGTCTCCCAATGTAATGCATCTTGAAGCAATTGCTCAACAGAACGATGAAATCTTTCAGATAGTAATAACTCGCGAAAAGCTGATGTAATAGAATTTCCTCCTCTATTCAGTGCACAAAACTTCAAAATCTCCATTTTGCTCAAACTCGCGAAATCTGAGCATGATGGTCAAGAAAATGATAGTTATTTAGCATAGCATAGCCTTTTGTATGATATTAAGGTGGATGCACGATGAAAAGTGAGAATTTGAGAATCTGAGACGACTTAGCATAGGGTTTTCTAATGCTGATAACGAATATATACAGGGTGTCCCAAAAAATGCGCACATTATTTGACCATCAAAAACTTTCTCGTTTTGAAGCCTTTTGCCGATTTTTAGGCACCACTTTAGAGAGCAAACTTTAATTTAGATTTACATTACATTAAGCGTTTTGCAGAGCTCCCCAATTTCTGTAGTGAGCAGGGTCAAGCATGTTGATGCGATTCCTGGACCCTCATTCACGACCCCCCCCCCCTTGAAGATACCCATCCGTACGACCCCCACCCCCGTCCCCCCTCACCCTCCCCTCTCCATCTATCCCCCTTACCTCCCCTGCCCACATTTCTCGCGGTAACCTGCATAAACGAATGTCAATCTCAAAAAACACCTGCGTGAGAACTTCATTGAGGTTTCAGAAGCGGAATTTTTGGGCTAATGGGTGCGCCAGCATCTCTAGCACATATATACACACATTCATTAATGTTTAAGATTCTGCAAGTTTACTTTTGAATTTTCAGGCATACTTCAGGCCAGCAAATTCGATTCCCGTATGCGACACAAATTGTACACTGAGAACTAAATGACATTCTTGAACTACAAAAGATGTTTTCGACTAAGAAGCTCAGTACTTACCTCTTCCACAGTTTTTCCTGCGAAAAAAGCGCTTTAGCGCCGTCCAGAACGACATCAAGAACGTGCATGAGCACGGTAGTTTGAAAATTCGTAACTAAAGCCAGGAAAAGACTGGGAGGCTGCAATGGACAAGTTCTGTAGCATAGTGCCCAGACTATTCATAGAGAAAGTTTCAGCCCTTGAGGAGCAGTGAGCTCGAAAAAATTTAGATCAGGCTCTCGCAAATTTAGATGCGATCCTAAAAAGCAAAAACTAGGAATTTTGAGCTAAAAATTTTGTAACTTACTAGAGAAGTAATAAAACAGCCTGAAATTCTTATGATAAATACTAGAGGGATGGCCTCGCATTACAGCAAGTTTGCAGCTAACAAGCTTCAATAAAAAAATTTAGATCAGGCGCAGATACGACCCCCCTTTTCTCATTTTTTGCTACCATACATAAAATCATAGGAAAATCCGCAGTTTATAAAATAACACCAGATTTCGCACAGCAGTAGCAGGGCTTATCTAAAGTACATATAAATTGTAAGGGCCGCATAGATGACATTACAAAAAGATTTACGATTTATTGATTGTCAGTTGTTGATCTACGTGTGCGCTTTTGTCGAGTGTGCGAGTCTTCAGTGAGCCTTCGGAAGCAGGATGTCTACACCAATCGGTACATCCAACATCTTTATCACACACACATGCCTTTAGTAGCATTTGAGCTTCTGAAAGTGTTTATTTTCTGGATTTCAGTTATCCAGTAGGGTTCGATCCCCGTTTGAAACAATCATTTGCGGGAGAAATAGCGATTCCCATAGAAAAAGAACTAAGTCATAATCTTTCAAAAGTGCAGCAAATGAAGCGAATTTCTACGCTTGCAAATGTTTTCAAATTATTGTTCACTTGTTTTTATTTGATACATTGGTACACGGCATTCCATGAACTTATTATTAAGAACATGTAATAATTGCTTACTATTTGATTTGCTTTCAATCGTACGGTTTTTTATCCAAACTACCCCCTCTTACGACCTCCCCCCCCCCCCTCACCGTAGGCCCCCTTTACGACCCCCGTTGCGACAGTCGCATCACAGGCTTGACCCTGGTAGTGAGTAAGGTCGTCTAACCAAATTTTTTTTCGAAAATCTGAAAAGTGTGTACAAGGTTCTTCATGCCTGCTTGTTCATTACACTACATTTTACGACTATTTTGAGCTCTTTCCAATAATTTGATTGCATTTCTGACAAACGATGGAAAAATAGTTGCTGTGGTATATTTGGAATAGCTTATGAAAGAAATTTCGTTCTCATAATCAACGGCTCCAACTAGCTTAGTATTCTAGCCTTCAATTTCGTCTTAGGCAGAACATGGCTCTTAGTAGCATAGAAAATTTTCGTTTCTGGCGTACTACAGTAGAGAAGAGCGATAGTTGGTTTATTCCATATTGTAGATCTAAGCTGTATGGCTCTGCAAAAGTTACCCCAAAGTCCGGCGAAAGACATTAAAGTAAGAGAGCTATCAGCGACTAGCAGTATGCACATTTTTTGGGACACCGTATATGGAGGATGTCCCAGAAATTGAGCCCATTGTTTGAAAGTTATACTCTTGTCATGGAGTCTTCAAAGCTTTACATTTTTGACTTCAATTCAGATCTACAGTATGGAAAATGGAAAATGGAGATTGAAAAATGCGGCTTGTACAGCATCTCGCTCCTGTTCAATATATTCATAGTGAAGGGCAGTAGGAATACCTAAGAGATAGGAAGACAACGCAAAATCTAGACGTCTGGAGCTTCAAGACATAAAGCCTATTTTTAAGCTGCGATCCTTCCCCGCGGTATGTTAGTGCATACAAGCCTAATTAGGGAAGCGTCATATTTTGCAACTCTAAGTATCTATATTCTTCTTTTCCTATCCATCGCAAAGGCTCTCATACTCCAATATTTGAGTGTAATGGATAACACAACACTACCATACAAAATGATATTTTTCTATTTCTTGTGGTCTTTGGGGATTTCCAATAATCATCTCACATTTTCATAGTCATTTACTTTTTTATAAACTCGATAAATGCTGTAAAGTTGTGCAGAGGATATACTATGGTACTGCCAAACATATTCGTAGTGGAAATTAGTGAAAGCTCAGGATATAAAGATCTTCGATGACCCTTGTTTGCGAGCTGAGGTTTGTTGAAAAAACCGCAACCTGCACAATCCCTTTGCTTTAACGAAAACATCATTAACAGTGCCATAATAGATCCTCAGTACAACTTCACGACGTTTTCATCGATTTTCTGAAAGATAGACGACCATGAAAACAGGGGTATGACAATGGTCTGCCGTCTATTATACTTAATTACCAAGGCATAAGAACCTTGCAGAGACAGAAAAGAATTACAGAAATCTAGATTAGCGAAACTTGACACGTCACCTTTCAGATCCCCTCCCCTCTAACAGGAATGTACGTGTATATGAGCCTAGGTCAAAAAAGTCAACGTGAGTGATCACACAACTCTGCCACAACGACACCGCACAAGAACTACTTTTCCTTTCGTTTTTAGACAACTTCAGAGAGTATTGAAGCTTTACGCAAACTTTCCAGAAAATAAACAAACTACTCGCAAATATATAGCGTGCGTAGTAGTAAATTGACAGTGTAGTGTTCGTTTACCCAGCATACGACTGATAATGTAATTACGTTGCTTACTACAGTCCTACCTTAAGGGTTTTGTTTTCAGATTTTCACATAAACATGCCGTACTCTGTGTTAATCTGCGTACTATTGATGCTCTGTATATCAACTTCTAGTGCAGGATTACTACAGCGAAGAGGAAAAAGACAGGACATCCACATATTACAAGATCAGCCATCAGGGAATGGCAATGGTGGTTATTATGGTTCATCATGTAAGTATGTACAACACGTAATCGATATTTGCTTTTTGAGCATATACAAGGGGTGTCCCCAAAAACGTCCACACAGTTTATCGTCAATAATTTTTGCATTGAAGTGCCCATCTTTAGGTAATATAGTATGGAGCAAATCCCCAATCGCTCTTCTCTACTTGTTAAAAGTTTGGAAAAGTGTGTAGCAGAGTTTTAACATTTACTGAATCCATACACCAACTTCTTAGGTTCTTGGACTTTTCTAATAATGTAATCACTTTCTAACTTACATTCGATTTACCGTGAATAATCTAGGAAGAAAGCATTACAAATGCAGATTTTGAAATCGAATTCAGCCACTATGATCAGCTAATGTAAAAGCTTTTGGCATGTTTGTTTTCTTTCTGAGACAAAAAGGAATGTCGAGGAGCAACAATCAAACATTGTGCACATTTTCTGGACACTCTGTGTTTTCTTGTTTTTGTAGATACTACTTCCCATGTTTACTCAGTACTTTGAGATAGCTTTGACTAAACGGAACGAGGTGTAATGTCACTTACAATTCGCACTAGATTCTGTTTAATCCTTTACAGAAACCCTTTTCCTGGATAGCTAATTTGAGCAATTGTATTGAGCGACGGTAGTTCCTGAATTCAATTAGTTCTCAAAAATGTGCGTTGCTCTTAAGGCCACCAGAATAGCAAAGAGAACGGGAAATTAAGTACCAAACACTTTGACGTAGCAGTCTAGTTTTTACCAAAACATTCTATTTCTGAGTCTTTGCTACAGCCATAATTCCGTTTTTTTCTCCCGCAAATAAAATCCTGCTTGCACATGCCGCTGGCGCTTCTTGCACTTGCACTCCTACTTTTTGCTACCTTTTTCTCCAATTTCTACTCTGTCTCCTTAAAACTAGGAACTGCTTGTCAAGAGAGTAACTTCAAAATTCTTTTTTGAAATCAAACAACAAAGTTGCGCACATTTAGTTAGGACTCCCAATCAGCACGATGAAATTGGCCACTTAAACTTGCGCGTTCTCTTTTAAGCTCAAGTAATTGTGATGGCGCAAGGTGGCAAAACAATAGGTTGGCTATCAAATCTATGCAAGACCATATGAGGTTAAGATTTCCCATTAATTTTCAATCACCACATTCGAGAGTTCTAGTAAATCCTAGATACATGATTTCGATATGAATCTTTCGATCAACTTTGACCCGAAGGTCCCTATCCTTGTTTGATGTACCAGTTCTTGAATCCTGTTTTAGTCACTAGACGGTAAGGAGAATTAGCGGTGTGCGGCACACCGCAAATTTTTCTAGAAACATTTACACCAACGAAAATCAAATGAAGCAAAGTCATTTCAGATAACTCCATGATGATGATGTGGCCCTGGATGATGTTGCCGCTTATGTACGGCGGCTACGGCGGTTACGGTGGCTACGGCGGTTACGGTGGCTACGGCGGTTATGGTGGCTACGGCGGTTACGGTGGCTACGGTAACTCTGCTATATCTAGAATTTGGCCTTGGTATATGGGCATGGCTATGGGTTGCGCCATGTGTGGAAACTATAACTATTAAATGTTCCGACGCTCTCTCTGTTGTCATACGATCATGACTGTTGTCAAACATTGATTCGTTGTTGTTTCTGTTCGAATTGGATTCATGCAAAAAAGGAATAAATCTCGAATCTTGCGTCAGTTGGCATGGTTGATAACTCTATGTTGACTAACTCCCGAAGACATTTTTCGTCATCAAATAGGTAAAGTCGGGCAGGAATTAAATCGGCAACTCAACCGCAAATAGTGGCTTCCTTAGGTCAACGTACAGGATCTGTTGTTCATATAGCAAAATGAAAAGTAGTTTAGTACGGTATGGTAGCTTTTTATGGCAAAATAAGTTCGGCCGTAAGCGCTTTAAGAAAGGAAATGGAGATTTGACAGAGGATCATTTTGCATATGCAGCTTTTGTCTTACCTGTGCAGCAGATATTTGCTTAGCAGATACGGGACAAAAACATTGCTGTTATTATGGCAAGATTATGGTTCATCCGGTTCTTACAAATTGTAGGCAGTGTTCTTCTCATCTTTATTTCGAACTTCCGAAACAGCTCCTATTGTTGGATCGAAAAGCATTGAATTTCTCTATTCAAACAGAAAAAACCGGAATAATAAAAAAGAGAAAAAACATAAATTAGATGGGATAAGCACCTTGTTAAATAGATCAGATCGTTTTTGCTGACAAGAAGTGAGTGCAGCTTTACCGAAATCGTTTTACTTACCCGAATGCGATGAGGAGGACCGAACCAGAGCTTGGCTAACCAAGTAGAGCGGGTAGAAGAAAAGGATCTTGGCATGGGAGAATGCAGACCTTTAGATAGAGTATTCAGTGGCCTGATTTGCATGTAATTACTGAACATGCAGCGGCAGTCAACATCGGTCAAAATCGTCTTGAATCCATCGACATTTTTTTCTGCTGCGTTCGGCATGTAGGGTTCATTGAGCGTAAAGCGCTTACAAAATTGTTAACTGGAGAGTACCTTTCCTATAATTACGGATATGCAGTGGCAATCAACATATGTCAAAATCGTCTTTTAGTCCATCAGCATTTTTTCTGCTGTGTTCGGCATTAGGTTTCATTGAGCGTAAAGCGCCTACAAAATTGATCACCTATTTGCATAGACTAAACGGGCTGGTAGGAAAGGTACTCTTCAGTTAACGTGGTATTTGAAACCCTTAAAAAGCATCATGAAGAATTTTTGGGGAAAAACATTTTGAAGCTATCTGTCCTTACTTTAACTAAGAATAAAAGTCAGAAAAAATTGTTCTGATTGTAAAGTGCCCTACTATGTGTACAGTCGCAGAATTTTGTTCAGCGGTCGGAGAAAGAAACAATGCGCTTTTGAAACTTTAGGACACAGCCATTTTATCGATTTCTGTCATTGTGGACATACGACCCATTGGTATCAACTTTCTCGTGTCTTTTTTCAATTACCGATGAGTCGTATGGTCCAAAAGATCATCTTCTTATTAAACTTCCCATAAATATTCTCCAAACATGTGCGTCCCATGTAGTTCCATCGTAAATCTGCAGTGAATGGTACCCAGAGCGTAGGTCGTATGTCCGAAATGGCAGTACACGTACGACCCACCGGTGGGTCGTATTGTCGTGGATGTGTTAATAAACCAAAGGACAGAGACTGGAAAGCGATGGTTGCTAAGTCGTTTATTTCCGTAAAAAGCATGGCTGTCATTGCGAAGATGAGGAAAATAAGAGGTGTTAGCGAGAGTTCTTGGACACTGAAAAGCACAACATCAACATGTGAAGTGAATATTTCTTCCAAGGGGTTCTGGCCCGCATTACATAAACCAAATATATTGGGTCGTTCCGAAAGTAATGTCGCTTTTTTCAAATGAACGACACATTCCATAGAATCAAGATTTTCATAAGCTCTTGGGAGCGTTCGATGCAGCATTTCGTCCTCTTTCTAATGGCCGTAATCTCCTTGCATAATATCCAATAAGCTTTCGAAAAATTACAAAGACTGCGACTCATGCTTTTTGCCATGGTCAATTTCGGCTAGCCATCAAATTCCATATTTGGTCAACTTAAACCTCACAGAACAATAAGTGGCAAGCAGCTCGGGCGTCATTAAACGCAGCTTTTTCTCCTCTTTCTATCAGTTGTTTTTTGTTTCCGATTCATCAAGTTTTCCGGGATAAAATCATCGTAATTCAGGTTTTCCAGGGTGCCCCAGGCTGTACCCGGAAATTTCGAAAGTTGCTAATCTGAAGCGGTGAATGCTCATTTGGTCTGTAGACTTGGTGTCAAACCATAATCCATCTTTGTAAGTTTCGAGATCCGAAGATCTATTTATGTTTGATGCATTTGTGTCTGAACAGAGCCTGCTATTTGGTGGTTCCATCAAAAAAATCTATACAAAAATTATGACGAATTTTGGGAAGTAGAAAAAAGTTGTGCTGTTTCCTGTAGGGTTTGCTCTATTCATCCATTACTTAGACTTCTTCCGAGAATTGTTTAAAAAATTCAGAAAAAATTGTGAAAATTGGCCTTTCTGAAAAAACATGGGTCGCGGATCTTTTTCGAGAAGTTACTGAATTGTGTGCAGTGGTTATATAAACTTTAGAAAGAGAATAAAATGCTGCATCAGATGCTACCAAAATCTCTTACATATCTCTGTTCCACGAGATGTGGCGTACGTTTGAAAAAAGCCCCGAGTTGCTTGCCTGTCGTAGTTCTGTGAGGTTTGAGTAGACCAAATATGGAATCTGATAGCATTAAAAAATTGTTTCCAGAACTCTAAAAAGCAAGCTAAGGAAAAGAAAAAAATACTCTATGTCCTATAGCAGTTGCTCCATCTATTAGTCACTTGTACTTCTTCGAAGAATAGGCACAAAAATTTTGAAGAATAGCCGAACTTGATCATAGCGAAAAGCATGGGTCGCAGGTTTTGGTAATTTTTTAAGAGTTCACTGAATATTTTGTGACGGTATTAACCGCTAGAAAGTGGATGAACTGCTGCATTGAACGCTCCTAAGATCTCTTGAAAATCTTGATTTTATGAAATGTGGCGTTCTTTCGAAAAAAGCGACATTACTTTCGGAACGACCTAGTATATCTCCTTAAAAAATAACAATTTCTAAATTAGAAATTGCAAATATTAGCCGCATGAAGTTAATTTCAAATTTTCTTTCCATATCTGCCAAATATCTTTGCAAACGAGTTATTAACAAATATTGCAAGAAAATCGTACATACGAATTGCGAATGCCTCTTTCTTGGTATGGACTATAAAAGAAACCTAGCTGTATTTGGTCTGTTTTGAAAGCAGTGGCTCGGCAAAACCAAACATATCAAAATTTTGATATGGAAGGCTGCTTGCATCCCAAATATTAAAACAGAGCAGGTCCGAGCGCACAACATGCACTCCTGCCTAGAAAACTGCTCCTAAACCCGTGCGCGCAAGCCATTCTTACACGCGTTCGGACGCGCTTGCGCTCCCCTTCCCACCGTCGGAGCGGCGTGTCACAACGCTATAAACATGAGGGTCCCGCAACGAGTCTACGTCTCTGAATATGGCGGGGAAGGTTCCACTCGTCCAAATTCAAAATGAGGGGTTTGAAAAATGCTGGTTTTCGCCATTTTCGCGCTTTTCAAGGTATATTTATGGAATCAGCGCGTCGAATTACCCCAGGTAAGCGAAACTTTAAGTTGGGAATTTGCCGAGCCACTGCCTTTAAGCCAAAAACGGCTTGTACGTCTAATTTGCTTTGTTTATTCACTCACAATATGATAAATCAAAACTTTATCTATAGAAGCCCTTAGCAGATAAGAAAAGTAAACCTATCATCAGCACTCTATGCTGCATCCATTGGCACGCAACTTGTTAGAATTACCCACTTCGGCTTCTGGCTTTTCTCTTGTCAGAGAAAAGTGAAAACAAGTCTCTTTTGAGAAAGCCCTTGAAGCAAACATCAAATCCACTAAATTTGTTACCGCAATCGAGCTCCGGATTATTAGGCATTATAGGCAAAGGCAATATGAAACAAATGCCTGTCTATGAAATAATTTTTCGACATTGCAGCAAAATCTGTAAGTGTCAATTACTTTATTTACTTCAATCGTTGTAGCTGTTTTGTTCTGTGTGTGGGTTTAGCACCTGGGATTGTTCAGAATGTTTTTGTTTCTCTTTGGATTTAATGTGTTTTTTTTCATCGCTTGAAGTGAAAACAATCAGACTATTTGACTCTCGTATCAAAGGTATGTGATGCGGATTACATTGTTGTGGAAAGCAGGCTGCGACAAAGCTTACGAGTACTCTCGTAGATGTTTGGTGCTATGCTGATGTAGCCCATAGCGTGAACATTCCATTTCTTTATGGAACATTTGATTTTTTATGTTTTTTTTCACAATATTAGGTCGTTCCGAAAGTTCTTTCCGTTTTTTCAACCTGTCAGAAAAACACGTGGAATGAAGGTAGAGGAAGGCATTGTCCGACGCAGCTTTTCTTCCTCTTTTCAACAGTTGTATTAATGTGCTGCTTGCTCTTGTGGTCAGTGAGATAATCGCCAAAATTTCGCACCCATGGTTTTTACCATGTCCAAATTTGGCAATTTTTCACAATCTTCTTCTTTGACTTTTACGAAAGCTTTGAATAGCAGTCAGATAGAGCAAACAAAATGCAATTTAATGCAATTTTTCGCCGTTTATAGCTAACCTTAAAAATTTTTAGAATTATTTTTCTGATGCTATCAAATTCTACTTTTGAGGACGCCAAGAGCCATTGAACATAAGACGGCGCACAACAAAGGTGTCATTCGATGCAGCTTTTCCTTCTCTTTCTAATGAATGTATTTTCTTTCCAAGTTGCGGGGTCTTTAACGATAAAGTTTCCATGATTCTTGATTTTAAACCCGCCCCCAGCCTGTACACGTAAAATGCGAAACCTTATATTTACAAGCGGTAAACGCTCAGTTTCTTTGCAAAAATTGTGGATAATCGTAACTGACCTTAAAAGCTTCAAAATCCGTATACTTGCCAGTGTTCGGGGCGTTTCTGTATTTTGGGACCTTGCAAAAGTGAAGACT